AGGTAAATCGATTTTGCTCACGTCCACCAGTCGTATACGTGATGCGGTACATGATCAATATTCAATCGGCACAGTGGGGAAAAAGTACATAAATTACCTACATTCACCATAAACCTTTCAGTTCATTCCAGCTACTGCAGGCTTTCCACACATACATATAAAGCTTTATGTATATATAGATATAGATATATGGCGATTTGATTACACTCTGCGCCACATTTATCTTAACCATGACCCATAAACACTTTGCACCAGCAAACAATCATAAAATATGAATGCGACAGAATTGGGAATTGAAATGGCCAGTTATAGCCTGGCTTTATGGAAATCCCAAGCAATAGAAGCAAAAAAGCACGTTAAATGTATTTTCATTTGTGTTTTTAACTTAGGAAAATCTAACCATAAATCACTAATGCCACAAGGCCACATCAAGACTTTAGCTGCTCTAAGTTAACTAATTAAAATTATCTTCAAGGCACATGTTGCCTTAAGGATACGTCAGCTGGCACCCTTTGACTGCCTTTAGAATATGCTTGCAGCCGTCTCCCAACATTGCGCATACGCCCCGTTATGCACTCCTTCTAATGCACAGCCATATACTTACACTTGTGTGCGGTTGCCATGCCAGCCACCGGCATTAATGTGAAAAATTTAAGTTTTCAAAGTCGTTGTCCCCTCGGTACCGCTCTCTCATGTCGCCCGTGGGCTGTTGCCACTGCCATTAGCAGAGTTTTACTCGCAGACGCGTTAATTCACTCACATCACGCTGGCTGTTTGCATAAATCAACGCTGCGGGATGCACTGAGGGAATTTACAGAGAACACTTTACTCCTCAGTGTCAAATAAAATTATTTAAAATAAATAAAGAAAGAGTAATTGTATATAAAGTCGCATGAAAACCTGTAGTCCCCGAAATATAAAGATATTTATATAGATTTTAATATAAATATAAATTAAATCGACTTTTTCTGCCCGTGTAAATCTGTCTGAGGGTGTGCGAATATCTGTGCTGGCTTTGGACGTATCAACTTTACGGCTCCTACTTAAAGCCGCAAAAATCAGCATAACTGGGGAACCCTTTCAGGTGAGCGCGGGGCTTTTCACCTGGGCCGTATGCTGCCGCATTTATTACACGGCTCGCTTGCTCGCGATTTACAGCTTACGGCTTACGGCTTACAGCTTGTTTCCTGAACGGTTTAAGCCCTTTAGCTTGGCAATCTTGCGGAAAGCTTCCCCTGCTCATTTGTTAAATTATAATGAGTTGCGTTGAAGGACGCTGTGGAATCGGCGGAATCAGGCACCTGCAACATCTCCTTCGACTTGCGGTCACCGGCTAAGCTGAATCTCGATACGGAGGAGCTCTGCACAAATATAGGCTTTGGCCTGGATGTGGGGGGAACAAAGGAATCAAAAAGACCCACGACCTCCGGGCTTCATCTCTCTTTCAGTTCGTGCGACAGTTTTTGCGGCCAAAGTTTTGCCGGTGGTGGTGGTTGGAAGTTCTGTGGCAAGAACTTGGATTGGTCTTGATGACTGCTGGCAGCTTTCCCGCTGCCTCAAATTTTATTCTCACCATCTTGGGCCAGTGTAACGACGCTTTAAAGGCGGATTTAATTACTCACAGCTTATAATACGCACGCAGTTTTTTCTAGATTTATTTTCTCAACAAAAGGATTATTATTTTGATAAGGAAAAACTTTTGTGTGAACGCAAGCAGCTGCCGCCGCACAGCCTCAAGGCGAAAGCCCGACTCTAATTAAATTTCAATGCGAAAAGTGCTGTCCTCAATTAGAAATTAGATAAAGAGCCGAGAAGCAACGAGGAGAAAAAGTAGAATCCAAGTGCTAAGCCAGATTGAACGCCTTGCAAAGGCCGGGCTCAATTTTCCACTGTCTTTTCTTCTACGTTTTTTTTTTTTAGTGGCGTAAAGACAATTTGCATATTTAATTGGTAATCATTTGACTGTCGACTTCTCGAGGGCATTCAGTAGTGGAATGCGAATCAGAAACCGAATCGGAATCGGAATCGGAACGGAGCGCTTAGTCGCAGATTGCGCAACAATTCTTTTGCCTGATTAGCAGAATATTTAATTTAATCCTTTGTGATTCCAGCATGGGGAAAAAAGAAGGGAAAAACTAATGAAAAGAAAAGCGTAACGAGCTCAAGGCTGGCTTTGATTAGCGCATAATCAGGCGATGAGTCGAGTTCCGTGATTGATTAATCGCATTCAATGATGCCTGGCACTGAGCTATATTTTAATTGGAAAGCCACAGACAAAAAGGCAGAGAAAGTTTCCGAATTTGAATGGGGTTTTCCTCATCGAGTTTCAGTTTATTTTCCGCCACCCCCATTCGCTGCCCCCCCTTCCGGTTGAGTGAGCATAGTGAATGAGGAAACTGATGTGCACACACTCGTATCTCGAGCACACGGAGTCCTGGAGAGTCCTGGAGAGTCCTGGTGAGTACTGGTGGGTACTGGTTCCTGCCATGCTGTAATGAAAGCATAACAAAAACAGAAACGTAGCGCAGAAACCGAAACAGATGAAATCTCTGCATGAGAAATGTCTGCTGCTCAATGGCAGCCACCTAAAGCTGCTGTAGTTTGTAGTTTCCGTTCACGTTTCTGACATGAATAAATTGGTAAATATAACCGGGGTTCAATATGTCCGTGCGCATTCGTCAAGCGAGAATTGCAGCCACGGAATTGCAACTTTGCCAATTCGAAAAATATGTATATATAAATCAAAAAATAAAAATTCTACTTTCAACCAAACTTTACAAATATTTAAATTTATTTAAAATATATTAAAACAAGCTACAAGAAACACAAACAAAATTACAAATAAACTATTTAATTTTATATACAAATTCTTTTTAAATTATTTAAGAAATTCTCCCAGTGCATGTCTAAGGAAATCTCAAGCCCAAGCTGCCACAATCAATGACTTGAGAGCAGCCAGCCCGGATTTTGGCCAGATACCGACTTGGTTACATTTCTGCATCATTAAGTGGCTGCCGCATGGCGGGAATATGCTAATAGTCATTTCTGGAAAGCCACCCAGCGGGTTGCCATGTGAGTTGTGTATATAATATTTTGTCTGCACCCTCCCAAGGACCTCGGTAAGACAATGGTCCTGTCCCTAATCGCCTCGCCCGTCTCCGCCAGCTGCTAGCTGCCAGCAAGCAGCTCTTCTCTGCCTTTTTTTTCGAGACGTCTTAAGGGATCACACGGCTGAGAATGTTTACCATTTCGCATCGGAACGCGTTTCTTTTTATGGCCAGGATTTGGCAAATACTTCAATAGTTGGCAAAGGATTTTATGTTTGCCGAATGGAATCCCGCATTTCCCTATCGCTGCTTTAAAATGCATTGCAACCGGAGATGTCATAAATATCCATGAACATTCCGGCGCTCTTTGCACTGATAATTCCCCAATGCAATTCCACAATTTCCACGGCCATCAAAGAGCGAAGGCATCTCCGCAATAATATTTGTGCCTGCAAGGGCTTCTATTTCTATGTTTTTCCCATCGCTGCCTCGACCCAGTTTGCCTGTCCTGCTCACCTGTCCGTGCACCTGCGCCCCCCGGGCGGACCCGGTGGCCCGATGGCCCGGAGTGTTGATAGCCAGAAATTTATGGGGCTGTAAGTACGGTCAGTTTATTCCTACTTTATGCGCACTTGTGGGAGAAATATTATTCACCTGCTGGGCCAGAAGCAGCGAGGATTCTGTTGGCTGTTGTTGGGCTCTTCGCTGCTAAGAAATTGTGGCCAGGCTTAGGTGCAAACTTGTTAAATGACTGGGCCCATAAAAGTGCGCTGCGCTGACATTGCCGGGAAGCTTTTTAAAGGGGTTGTTTATGTCCATTTTCATTTCTAATATAAATTAAGATTGGAATAAAAACAAATGTGAGAAATAGAGCAAATATTCCTTATAAAGTGGACATATTTTTAACTGATATTAAAAGGATTTTATATCATGGCACAATTCTTAATTCTCCCATCTACTCTTCATACCCCTGTTTAATTTCCGGAAATTTCCCTTGAATGACAATTATCGACCAACGAAAAACTGCCGCTTGACATCGTCCCAGCCAGCAGTCGAGAGGAGAGTTAAGAACCCTTCATTTGGTTTTTAAATCACCAATTATGTGGAAAATCTCGATGGGGCAAAGGCAATCCGAAAACGATGACTGCAATCAAGCAAAGTGCTGCGTAGTTTTATTCAAGGGAAATCGAGACCCCTTGAAATAATTGGGAAAGAAGTGAAGTCGAATGCCACGAAAAATTCATACAAAGTTAATTGAACACATCTTTATGGCAAAACGCCAGTTTTTTTTCTTTTAAACTTTGTAACAAACACACTCACCGAGCGTTGTCCACCTCAACACGCTCTGTCTACTTTTTCTGCTCGGCAGGCTCAGGGAAAATGGGCGTGGGTTTTGTGTTGACATGAACAATGGTGCTACATAACTAATATTGTAGACAGAGATACTCTAGCTGGGGATATGGTAAATAATATGAATCAGACGAAGGAAGTGTACCTATTGAAGATGAGGCTCCGATGTTATTGGCCTCAATCTAAACCCTCCCAACCTGTGAAGTCCATTCAGGCTCCACCCTTATACAACCAATGCTCTACATCCCCTTAGGTGCCCAACAAGATATCAAATTAGTTCATTTTCAAAGTCATATAATTGCAGGCTGAGATAATATTGAAAGACATTTTCCTAAATCTAATCCTTAAGCCTAAGTTTACGTTATTTACGTTACGAGACCTCTTATTGAGTCAGTTTGTTTTTAGATCAAATGAAAGGAAATAAAATTTAAGATAAGAAAGAACGCTTTTTCTTTTTTTACTTTACATTAAATAGATTAACTTATTAATATTCTTTTGGATCAATTAATTAATTAAGATGTGCAAACTATTTCAGAAGTCTTGGCGAAATTATAAGGATGGGTTCAGTTTTATTTTGTTGTTTTGCGGCTAGGCCGTACTCACGCTTTCTCCATCGACGTCAGCAGGCCTGATGACTGGTGATGTGTAGCTGTATGTGTTTTAAGTTATTTGAGGGACAAAACGATATTATAATTGCCAAATCTCCCAAAAAAAATTGCTAAATTACGACCGAAAAGGTTTATAAGTACGAATTCTTAAATCAAAAGCTCCTATATGCAAAATTAATTATATTTTAGACACTATCATTCATGTTTATCCGCTCCTGGAGCAGAGTGTGGGCCGGATCAGCCACCAGCTCTCAATACGGATATGTAATGCTACTTCCGTCGTTCGCGCTGATGAAGATGACACGCACTATGTGCGACAGGGATGGCCGCAATCCCTTGCGTGAGGCGTGAGCGGAACGAGACCAGCCCGCCAAGGTGTGGATGCGGCAGAGCGCACGCGATGTGGCAAAGATGCACGGCGATGTGGCAAAGAACGATGTGGCCACGAAAAAAGACGCACGGTGATCCAATATGTGCACCGTGTGAGGGAACGGCGATCCAATATGCGCGCCGTGTGAGGGAACGGTGGCGCGTGAGCGAGGCGGTAAAGAAAATCCAAATCGAGGATCACCGCAATCGGCACGTGTATGGCCGCCGAAATGGGAAGCGCAGCCCCACGCTGTGCGTGCGAATGCTCCGATGACACGTGGCGTTGATCCCGCTGAGAAGCCACAGACAATGCCAACGATGAATGCCACAAATGACTGCCACCTCACGTGGTGGGCAATTGCTGGCAAAAACAATGCCGGTCGCTTGGACGACTCTGCCGATACGGCTGACGCTGTTTTGAAAAGGCAAAATTAGCACTCCGGCGATCGATTATTCACACAAGCTTACCAATATACGTTAGAGCACTAAATTTACTTAATATGGGTATGATTCGCTTTAACAAATACTGTCGGATCGACACGATGCTTGCGGATTTAGGATCGACAAAAATTAATCCGAACTCGGGGACGCCTTGTGAGAAAGAGAACGGAAGTGAGGGGATCCAATGTGACCGTGGCTTGCAAAAATCCTGTTCGCGAATTTTTGTGGTCTTTTTTAGGTCCTATCGCATATTAGCGATTTGGCAGGATCGTAACTTTAACAGCCCGGTTGTTTGAAAAATGTGGGCGATAAAACTTATCGAGTTGCCACACTGGCTCGATTCCCACAACTTGTTTACTAAATAAATTTATTTATTGAAAATTTAATGTTAGTCTTTTTGCAGTTCAAAAAGCATTATGAAATAGCTGGAAACCTTGTAAAGTACACCTGACAGAGGAACACAGAAAAAATAACTTTGAAATGGACCAGAGGAAGCCAAACAATGGCCGGTTGTTATTAATACTTCGAGTGCAAATAAATGAATGCCAGCAATGCTACAGCTCTATGGAAAACCCATAATGATGACGATACGTCATGTAAAACGGCGGAACCCAATCGGCGATTCGTTAGCCTGATGCCATGCCGTTAAGTCCTTTGTTTCGACCATACCCGTTGTTATGGTATTTAATTTTCGAAATATTTTTACTGCTTCCCTCGAAGCGACTGTTGGCCGTGTGCAGATTTCAATAAAAATGGCTCGTCAGAGAGGGAAACAATTCAAATAAGGAAATTGCCACATGCCCATCCCAATGTGGTCCAATCAAAAAATGTAAATTTCCATAATGCCTCTCAGAGCCATGCACTCCTCTGTGGCTTCGCCTCGTCTTGACAATCTATTGTTAACTTCCGAGCTCGGTTCTTTGGCCAGATTAAAATTATCTTACATATGCGATGTGCCGGAAGACTCATCCGCGCCCAGGCCAGGCTCATTCGGCTGGATGTAAGTAAATTGAAACTGCCTCAAGCCGCTCTTCTCTTTAAGTGCACTTCGGTGTTTGACGAAGCATATGTATATTTTGGGAGCCTTCAACCGGAATTGCCGTCTTGTGGGTAATAAGCTTTTATTTTAGTTATATTTTGCACAGACATTGCGCTCATAGTTCGCTGGTGAATTTTTGACACAATTTTAGACATGGAATTTAATTAAATAAGAATGTTAGCACTTGTAAACCTTTTCATTGAATCAATAATAATATTTCTAGTGAACCATAAAACTTAATTTTAAGTAAACCAAACACCACTGTCAAAAAATGAATTCTGAATTGTGACTATAAATCACATTTAATTACATTCCCCAGCCATATTCAGCTGTAATTGCTACAAATTATGAGCCATAAAACAGACTGGATAATGGCCAAACAAACTATCATGCAAATTAAAAGTTACACCTTAGTTGGGCAATAACAAATTGTCATTGGACAAGAGGCCACAAATCACACAGCAAATTTTTGCAATTTTAATTAAAACTAAACGATTTTAAGCGCAACAAATAGACCCCCGCCCACAGGTCGCATAAGCAATGTTCTATGTCCTATTGCTCTTCACAAAATATCCTCGGACAGGAATTTGCAACACTCGCCAGCTGACCTCATTCGCATGTTGGTCAGCATTCTCAATTAGTTGGTGGCCCCTTCTATTTGTTGCTGTGTATCACTTTTGTTGGAATTGTGTTGTTGCTGTTGCGGTGTCATGTGGTTTCATTAGTGGTTTGGCCACTGAGTGGTTGTCTGGCGCACTTGCTACCTCAATTGTCAACATTCTGGCTCTCCAAGTCTAGCTGGTCTAATTTCTTTTCATTAACCTTTCGGTACGCTTTCAATTTTTGGTCAATATTGCCCTAATTCGTGATTAGTTCTAGCTGTGTTAGTTGGGACCAGGAATGTGGTTCAATATCAGAGAGGTTGCTTAACCCATTTGGTATGGTATTTATAAAGGACAGTGGGAGATATGGGTCTTAGCAAAATATATAAATTAAATGATCACCTATTGCTTGAAATTATAATTATATTTCGTTGTGATTCTCCAGTCTTTGTAAGCAGATGGTTTATTTTTTTTATTTATTGTAAGTTTTAGTGTGCTGTCCGTATAGCCTTTAACTTTTAAGTTAAAGCTCCCTTTAAATCTATTTTCTCCTAAACTTATCTCTTTATGGCATTCCATTCTGTGCTTTTCTTTTTTCAGCCGTCTGAGTTCCCTTCCAGGCAAGTGCCAAAATGCAAAACGAACAAATGGAGGGCCCACAAAAAACTAAGTAAGTGCGAAAAAATGCGCTGAATCCGATTTGAAAATTGTTTGGCTCAGCGAAAAAATAAGACTGCCAACTCAACTGCATGTTCGCAACTGGTATTGTGTTCATTTGATTTCCGGAACATTTACAGACGATTTCAAGACAGACAAGACAACATCATTTAGTTAAAGGTTCGATTTATGAATAAAACTGTGTCTATAAGTTATACCATCTAAATATACAGATTTTATGCATTAAATTTCTATCGTATTAAAATTAAAATATATAACTTCATTACACAAAATATATTTCTAGAGAGACACTATTAATTTGAAGACAATTGTAGCTAAGAGTGTCTGTGTATTGGTGCATATTTGCATAGCCAGCGGAAGTGGGCAGCTGTCATGGCTTCTATTTGTCGCCATTGACTACGACTACGCATGCAATTTGAATGCATCCGTGAATTGCCTTTTGCGGCGAGTTTTTCCCTTCTCACTTTTCCCAGTTTTCAAAACTTTTCTTCCTGTCCTACAAATTTCATTGTTTTTTTTTCCGTCTTTTTTGAGAACGGTCAAACAACCTATGATAAGTGCTGCCTGTTGGCTGGCAATTAGGGAAAGCAACTATTGCTGCACCTGTGCCTGCGTTGCCAATTAGCACTGTTTATGCCCACGCAATTAACAGACCTGTTAACGTCTGTTTACATTCGCTCACGCACACAAGCCCACTCATACACGCTCATTGTCAACCTTTGACGCGCACAAACACACACGCACGCACACACTCTCGAGACGGGAAAACAAAATCTGAAAAGAGTAATTGACGTTTTAATAAGTGTCACTTGACAGGTTGCAAGCGCCACGTGCAAGCGCGGGCAGAGAAAAAACATACAAAAAAATATGTTGTTTTCAAACAAATTTGACAAAAATAATTGGGAAATTTTATTTTCTGTTTAGTTTTCTATTTTGTTACCTGTCAATTTTAGCCTGTGCAATTTTGAAATATTTCTTTAAGTTAAATGTAGCCTACATTTATAAGATCTTTTTTAAAGAAACACCTTGAAGTCAATATAATTTAAAGGAAATTCGTTTTTTTTTTCCATTGTGTACACCACAGGCCGCATAAGGTACATATCATATCATAACGACCAAGTCCCATACGCTTTCACGCATTTATTCCTATAAGGACACATTTGTATATCTTTGGCATTGTCAGCTGGCAGTGCCTGCCTGCGCTGGGAAATTAAATTAAGTTGACACAATACAAAAGCCTGGGGTGCGTATTGTTCAACTGGCTCACGCGGCGTATGCTTAATTTAAGCATATAGATGTTTACTCTGCTGACAATGCACGGGGCGAGCTCTCAACTCATCCTTTTACCTGTCTGCGGATCGCAGGTGTTTCCCTTTAAAAAATAAATGTACACCGCTTTGGGAGTGACAGGCCAGTCAACTTTGACTGACTGACAGCAAAGAGAGAGAGAGCAGTGACTTTCTGACTTCTTCAGTTAATGTTGTCTGTAAAAAGATAAGCATACACTTCAAAGGGATTGAGGTATATATTTATTGGAATCAAATCCGCTTTAAAACTTGCATACAAGTTTCTGGTTATTAATATTTACCAAAAACCAAAATACACATTAGATAAACATTGATTATATTCCGGAAAAGGCAGCATTTTCATGCTAATGAGACCAAAAATAAATTCCCAATAATTTACCAATAGATTGCACAACAATTTGTTTGCCAATTGCTATGCAACCAAATTATTATTGGGTACCGAATTGAATCAAAGAAAAATAACCAGAGACACGCTTCAATTTCGTCTGACACATTTCCTCAAGCAGGCACTCATAAATATGGAACGAGTTGGCACAGAGACGAAAATACATGTAAGATTCGTATAGACTTTGGCGGCGAAAACGTGAGCAACTAGACAAATCA